ATATAATTTATCTTGATGGTTGAGTTTTTCGGTGCCCTCTTCAAATTTGCGCCTGAGGCAAGGACCTCATTCTCCTCCCCCTAATCCTGCATGGCTCTGAGCACAAAGCGGGGTCGGGGGGGAGCTCAAAGACTGTGTCTGGGTCTGCTTATGTGCGGGTCCACACCAGCTGTTTCCTCGGCCTGGGGTGCGCTTCCTGTCTTCCCTGGGAAAACACCTCACCCCTCCACCAGCTCTTTATCTCCTCCCCAGGCTGACTTCCCTGCCTGCCGCCTTCCCGCCAGCTCTCTCCCTCTGGACTCCAAGCGCTCCACGCCTCCATCCTACCTGCCCTGACCCCCTTGCCCCCAGAGTCTTGGAATGGCTGGAATCTCACCCGGGAACTGAAGCTGTGTGTCCTTAGGCGAAGAACGTTGCCTTCTCCAGCCGGGTTTTCTCCTCCATCAAATGGGAAGAGTCACACAAGTGCCTACATCGCGGGCATTGAAAGAGATGTTAGTATGGAAGGAGAAGACACTTATAAGTTGCTTAGGGCATATTACCAACCAACCAGCTGCCTTCCCCATGTGTGTCAGAGTAGAACTGTGCTCCACTGGAGTTTCACTAGCTGATTTTTCAGAAGTAGATTGCCATGCCTTTCTTCTGAGGTGCCTCTGAGTGGACTTCAACCTCCAACCTTTTGGTTAGCAGCCGAGTTCATTCACTGTTGGTGCCACCCAGGGACTCGACCATATACTGACCCAAAAAAGCCAAACCCATGGCCGTCGAGTCGATTCCGACTCATAGCGACCCTATAGGACAGAATAGAACTGCCCCATAGGGTTTCCAAGGAGCACCCGGTGGATTCAAACTGCCAACCTTTTGGTTAGCAGCCTGAGCTCTTAACCACTGGGCCACCAGGGCTCCAATATATACTGTATAGCTTTTAAAATTGGTGTGTATGTATTTTATATAGGTCTACCACACGCTTTCTCTGTGTTGGCTCATCTTCTGTTTTGGGCATTATAATCTCTCAATAAATGTCTGGTATTATTATCATTGTTACTATTATTATCTCCCATGAAATGCAAAATTAATAAATAGAAGAGTGGTTTAGTTTGTCGATTCTAGAGATAGGGGACCTCATTTGTGAGGTGGGTAAGGATACACTCATTTTCCTGGTTGGCAAAGTCCCCAGCTCACTCATGTCATGGGAAGGGTTGAGATTTCCATCTCCTGGGGCAGACGCGGGGACTAGGGTGAGGTGAGTGACCCATTCATCTCAGGCTTAAGATTTAAGGGGGCACAAAAAAAAACCTCAGTCTTCAAGATAAATGATATTTTAACACAATATTTTTTAAAATCAAAATGAATGCAAAAAAATCCATGACAAACAAAATACCAACTTTTTTTAATACTTTTTTTAATTGTACTTTAGATGAAGGTTTACAGAGCAAATTAGCTTCTCATTAAACAATTAATACACATACTGTTTTGTGACATTGGTTACCAACCCCACGACATGTCAACACTCTCCCCTTCTCGACCTTGGGTTCCCTATTACCAGCTTTCCCGTCCCCTCCAGCCTTGTCGTCCTTGCCTCCGGGCTGGTGGGCCCCCATTAGCCTCGTCTTGTTTTATGGGGCTGTCTAATCTTTGGCTGAAGGGTGAACCTCAGGAGTGACTTCAGTACTGAGCTAAAAGGGTGTCCAGGGGCCACGCTCTCTGGATTTCTCCAGTCTCAGACAAGTAAGTCTGGTCTTTTTTTGTGAGTTAGAATTTTGTTCTACATTTTTCTCCAGCTCCGTCCAGGACCCTCTCTTGTGATCCCTGTCCGAGCAGTCGGTGGTGGTAGCCGGGCACCATCTAGTTGTGCTGGACTCAGTCTGGTGGAGGCCGTGGCAGTTGTGGTCCATGAGTCCTTTGCGCTAATCTTTCCCTTGTGTCTTTGGCTCTTCATTCTCCCTTGTTCCAGACTGGAATACCAACTGTTTAAATAAAGGCGAGGTTCAACCCCACCTTTGCATGACTCACATCTCTCCCATTTCCCTAGTCCCATATGCCCTATGCCATATTTAAAGTCTTTGATTTTTTGTTCACCATGGATTTCTTTGCATTAATTTTGATTTTAAAAAAATATTGCACTAAAACATTGTTCATCTTGACGGCTGATTTTTTTTTTTTTGGCCTCCCCTTAAATTTGGCCCCAGGGGAGTTCGTGACTTGCCTTACCCTAAACCCCACCCTGCTTCCAAGAAAACATTAATTACAAAAGTGGCATCCCCGGGCAGTAGTTTCCTGATATTATTTAAAATATTGCTTCTAGAGTAGGCGGCGCACAGGGCATTTTTAGGGCAGTAGAAGTATTCTGTGTGATTCTGTAATGGTGGACACGTGACATTACGCATTTGTCAAAACCCCTGCTGTTGTTAGTGGCTGCGGAGGCAGTCCCGACTCATGGCTACCCAACGTGTGCAGAGCAGAACTGCCCCATGGGGTTTTCACGGCGGACCTTTGGAAAGCAGATCACCAGGCCTGTCTTACGAGGTGCCTCTGGGTGGGTTCGAACGGCCAGCCTTTCTGCTAGTAGTCAAGCACTTAACCATTTGCACCACCCAGGCACTAGACCAGTAAGCAACATCATGATAAACAGAGGAAAGACTGAAGTTGTCAAGGATTTTGTTTTACTTGGATCCACAATCAACGCCATGGAAGCAGCAGTCAGGAAATCAAGGGACGCACTGCATTGGGCAAATCTGCTGCAAAAGACCTCTTGAAAGTGTTGAAAAGCTAAGATATAATTTTGAGAACTAAGATGCCCCTGACCCAAGCCATGGTATTTTTAGTCACCTCCCATGCACGCGAAAGCTGGAAAATAAATAAGGAAGATGGAAGAAGAATTGATGCCTTGGAGTTATGGTGTTGGCAAAGAATGTTGAATATTCCGTGGACTGCCGGAGGAACAAACAATTCTGTCTTAGAAGAAGTACAGCCAGAATGCTCATTAGAAGCGAGGATGGCGAGACTATGTCCCACATACTCTGGACATGTTATCAGGAGGGACCAGTCTCTGGAGAAGGACATTCTTGGTAAAGTAGAGGGTCAGCGAAAAAGAGGAAGACCGTCAGTAAGACGGAATGACACAGTGGCTGCAACAATGGGCTCAAACATAGCAACGATTGTGAGGATGGTGCGGGACGGGGCCGTGTATCATTCTGTTGTGCATGGGGTCGCTGTGAGTCTGAATCAACTGGACAGCCCCTAACAACAACGACAAGGGACTGCTTTAGTGAATAATAATGCATCAAATGTACCACACGGAATGCAAAATGTTAATCAAAGGAGAAATTGCAGTGGAGACGGGTATAAGGGAACTCTCTGTACTTTCTGCCCAATTTTTTCTGTAAACCTAAACCTACTCTAAAAAATAAAGTCTATTTTAAAACACTGTGTTTTTAAAATATAAAGTATACATTGCCTATGTGAAATATCGTGTATACGAGACACTGTAACCGCCTCTCATCCCTCCCCCGCGGGTCCTCCCTTCCGGTCCTGCAGGCGCAGAGACCCCTCGCGACCACCAGGTGGCGCTACCGCGCCTCGCAGCTCCTGGCCCTTTCACGTCCGGGTGGGCGGCGCGGAGGCGGCGCGATGCGTCAGCCGGACTCGCAGGACAGGCAGCCGGGGGAGCTGAGCCGCGGGGCTGAGGCCAAACTGGCGGGGGAGGGGGCGAAGACATGAGTCACCAGGGAGCACGCAATCGGCCGTGGGAGATTATCCTATGCGGGCCTGCCCGCCTCACTCGTGAGCTGCTTTCTCGGGAGGGGTGGGGGAAGGGGCGGGGGCGAGGCTGGCAGGGTCCCTGCGTGCAGCGGTGCCAGGTGCACACGCGTGGCTGCAACCCGAAACTCTCCAAGTCTCAGTTTCCTCTTTTGCATGCTGGACATACGTATAGCCTCTGCTTCCCGGGTCCTTGGAGTTTAAATGAACCATGCTGCAGGGAGGGAGCGCCTGGTATACAGTACGCACTCAATATGTGTGAGCGCCCACCCGGGAGGGAGGCTATAAAGGTGGCAATCGTGATTGCAAACAGGCCAGAGGCGGCAGCGTGCAGCTCTAGCCAGAACCGTTTCGCCTCCGCTTTCTCTTGGGCTTTAATTTCGCTGCACGGTCAAATGGTGGAACGAGAGGCAGCCGGCAGGGGGCGCGCCCGCTCAGGGCAGAGACGGCGGAGATGAGCCACCTGCGCCTCCCGAGCGCGCCCCACGCTCAAACTCGCGGGGGGCAAGGCGGGGGTGCCGGTTCTCTTCCCCAGGACGCCTAGGCCTTTGAAGCCCCCACTTTTGGCGGACCTCGAGGCGGTCTACCGTGCCCACCAGTTGAACGGCTGTCGTTTATTGAGCGCCCACTGTATACCCCTTATTTTATGGACTGCACCTTCCAGCCCAACGAGGACGGCGCAGCCTTCGCACGGAACAGGTGGGGGCAGAGACCCAGAGAGGTTAAGTCATCTGGGTTTGGGGGTCCCTGCAGCCAGGGGAGAGGGAGACCTTCTCTCACCACCCCCTGAGAGAGATCGGGGTGCAAAGGGGGCCCCCTCCGCATGCATGCCCCACCCCATGCAGACTTCCCTTGGGAAAGACGCGGGTCGGGGACTCTCCGGGTGCAAAGAGGGGATTCCAGACCCCCCCGAAAGTCGTGGCCGCCTCGCGCGCTGGAAATCCCGCGCGCGCGCTCCGAAAGGCGGCGCGCGGCTGCCGGGAAATCTGGAGAAAAACTTCTGCTTTTTTTTTTTTTTTGCCCCGGGCACTCACTCCCCCCCTTTCTCGCCTCCGGGCTCACGCCCCCACGTGGGGCGCCCCCCGCGCGGCGCTCCGCCCCCTCCCGGCCGCCGGCCAACCGCAGCGCGCGCTGCCCTAGCCTTTGTGGGCCCACCAATAGGAGAGCCGGCCGGCCGGCCGAGGCCACGCCCCGGCCTGTGTGTCTATAAAAGACGGCGCCGGCGGCCGCAACGCGGATCGCCGTAGGTGAAGAGCCGCGCCGTTCTTTGGTGTTCTTGGATTATTCGCGTTAAGGACTTTGCGTTTTTTTTGCTTTATTCCAACTTCTTTGGGGATTTCACTGCTGTCTGCCGAAGGTTTTGGGCTAGCGCTCCGGCTCCGTGAGAACGTGTTGCGCTGTCTGTTCTCGGATTTTGCATTTTCTCTCTTGGGACTGTGGTGGGTTTGTTTCCACTGTGGATTATAATTGCAACATGACCCTGGAAGAGATCGTGGCGTGCGACAACGCGGCTCAGAAGTAAGTAGCGGGGGTCCTCGCCGCCTGAGGTCGGCTGGGCCGGGAGGGACTGGGAGGGACTGGGGAGGGCGCGGGACGCAGAACCCGGTGGCTGGCCCGGCGTGACCGCCCTGTCCCCTGATCCCCAGGATGCAGACGGTGAGCGCAGCGGTGGAGGAGCTTCTGGTGGCTGCGCAGCGCCAGGACCGCCTCACCGTGGGGGTGTACGAGTCGGCCAAGCTGATGAATGTGTGAGTCAATCCCCCTTCCTGGGGCTGGGCGCGGGGTCGGGTCCCCCCTCTGCTTTGCACGCTCCTAAAACTCCTTTCTTGCCTCGGGTCTGGGACTACCCCAAGCACCCGCACTGTGGCTTGGGGGCCTTTTTCCATTTGAGAAAGGGAGCTTCAGCGTTGGCGCGCTGCATGGTTTGCAGGCGACCCCCACCCCCGTTTTCACTCAATCCTCTTCCCCCATACTTTGAAGTGAGTACCCCTGGCACCCAGCACACAGACACGTTGTCTCCTGCATGCATGCACGCAGCGCGGTTTCTCTCTTGCTTTCTGCAAACTCCCCCCCCTCCCCGTGCATGATGTCCCCGGCTGACCTGCTCCCCGCCCTTCAGGGACCCGGACAGCGTGGTCCTGTGCCTCCTAGCCATAGACGAGGAAGAGGAGGATGACATCGCTCTGCAGATCCACTTCACGCTCATCCAGTCATTCTGCTGTGACAACGACATTGATATCGTGCGGGTCTCCGGTATGCAGCGCTTGGCACAGCTGCTGGGTGAGCCGATCGAGACCCAGGGCACCGCGGAGCCCCGGGACCTGCACTGCCTCCTGGTCACGGTGAGTGGGGCCCCCGCCCCACCCGGCCACCTGGGCTATGTTTGTCAACAAAGTTAAGCTGGCCTGCCCACCGCACACCAGCTCATCCCTCAGCCACGCTCGGCATGTTTGTCGGCGTGTCCCGTGGGCAGCCCAGCCGGCCTCCTCACCCAGGGAGCTATTTTGGGCCTGTCCGTTTTCCCGAGCAAGAGGGAGGCTCTGGGCCACTCCTGGGGCTGCCTCTGAACCTTTCGCTTCCTTCCCTTAGAATCCACACACGGACGCCTGGAAGAGCCAGGGACTGGTGGAGGTAGCCAATTACTGTGAAGAAAGCCGAGGAAACAATCAGTGGGTCCCCTACATCGCCCTGCAGGAGCGCTGAGTCCCCTCCTGGCCCCAGAGCCTGCTGAGTTGCTGCCAAAAAAATAATCAAATAAATATTTGAGCCCCTCCCCCCAGCACAATCTCCCCCCCCCAAAAAATACCCAACTTATGAGACCACTGGGGGGCAGAGTCATTGGAGATTTGAGGACAAGGAGAGGGGAGTGTGGGGTCACCCCGGGACGGTGGCCTGGAGCGGCGCCATCGATGGCCACAGAGAGAGAGGAGAGGGGTCCCCCTGGCCAGCAGAAGAGGGGACCCCACGGCACAGGCCTGGTGACAGCCGACGCCAGAGTGGGGGAGCCCTGCCTCCCCCCAGCACGGAGAGCCTGGACTCTACCTTTGGAGGTTGGGCGAGACCTGTGGCGTCGCCCACCTTTGTTGAGGCTGGAGCTGCCATCTACAAAAAGGACTTGGCTGAGCGAGGGCGTGGACCCTTGTCAGGATTTTCTACTTCGGGACTTAGAGCTGGGGCCCACGTTGTATGGGTCCCAGGAACTCCTAGTTTGCAAATGCTATAGACAATCTATTTTGTTACCTGCACTTGTTACTTGAACCACTGAAAAGAGAGACAGAAGGCTCACAGATTTCTTCTATTTTTATTTCTAGGATGGCTTTGTAATAAATTTGTAAAGCCTCAGGCTTGCTTTTGGTGTCTTTGTGGATTCTGATAAGGACAGGGACCCCCCCCTACACACACACACACACACACACACTTTCCCCTTGGTACCGTGGCTTCCCCAGAAGTGTTACTACAGGCGCTGTTAGCAGCTCCAGGCTCCTTTGCAAAAACAGTGCCTCTTCTCTCTGCAGCCGGCGCCACCACCCAAGTCCAACAAAGCTTCGCCTCTTTTTTTTTCTTCTCCCTCCTGCCCTGTAGCAATTAAAAGACCGGTTTATTACGAAACCTGGCTGCCGCCGAGCCACTGCTGTTACCGGCCGGCTGGAGCCACCCCCAGCTTCAGGCACATACAGACGCACCCCTGGGGGGCTGGCTGCAGCCTCCACCCGCAGGGCCTCGGCCTCCACCGCAGCCCAGAGAGGCCGAGGGCCTGCCTGGGACCACACAGCACTGTGGGCGCTGGGCTGCCCCAGGGCCCCCTAACAGTGGCAATCTCCAGCCTCGGGAAGAGCTGCTTTGGGGAGCGCCCCCCTACCCCAGATCTTCTCCTTCCCAGAATGGGCCCCTTTGCTACCCTAAGGAAAAAGAATTTTTTTTTTCTTTTCCCAAGCTAAAATCAACAAGAAGAAAAATGCCCCAGGAAGCCCCAGCTGAGCTTGGCACGGCCCTGCAGTTTTGCCTCGAAACCGAAACTGGGAGGCTGGCGCGGCCACCTCCCTGTTCTCCCCAAGTGGCAGGCGGCGACGCCCCCTGCCCCGGGCTGGCAGCCTGGCCCAGCCCTTCCGGCCCGGCCTCAGCCTTCCGGGCCTGCGGGGTGGGCTCGCAGGTCTGCCCCCTCCCCGCTATCCCCAGCCCGGGTCTGGGCTTGTGGTGTGGGGAAGAAGGGGGACTCTGCCCAAAGGGCACGACCTTTCCAAGGGGCCCTGTGTGGGCGCAAGAGGAAAACCCCGGCGGCCCCCGGGGAGTCACGGGGCGGGGAAAGAGTGGCAGGGGGAGGGGGAAATCCCACGGGGGAGGGGGAGGGGAGGGGATCCCTGCTGGGGTTGGGAGGAGGGAGAACCCAAGTGGGGAGCCAGGAGCCCCTAGGGGAAGGGAGGGAAACCTTCTGATGGTGGCGGTGGGGGAGGGGCCGAAGGAATCCCGGCGGGGGCTGGGGGAGGGGGGATTCGAAATGGTGGGACCCGAGTAGCGTAAGGGGGAGCCTGAAGGGGTATGAAGTAGCGGTGAGATGAGGGAGTACCTAGAGGGTAGGGGGCCACAGGGGGCAGGGGCTAGGAGAGGGGCGGACTCAGGAGCCCCGCAGGGGGTGGCGGGAAATGGGGAGAGGGGAGCCCTGACCTGGAGCCCAGAGAGGGGAGGAGAGATGGGGTGGGAGTAGAGGCTGAGGGTTGGGGGAGGGGAGGACTGAGGTGGGAGGATGAAGCCCCAAAGAGGGGGCCTCAATGGGGGAAGGCCTGTGGGGACGAGAGCTCCAGCACCCATGCCAACCCCGCCCAGCGGGCTCCAGTGGTGTCATCCCGGCTCCCGCCTGGCAGGTGGCCAGGGAGGCGCGGTCCTGCCGGCCCCGCCCCGTGGCTGGGACAGCCCGTCCTTCGTCCCTTCGTGACCCTGGCCGTCCACGCGGGCCCTGTGACCTCCGACCCTCTCATCCCTAGGGGCCATCCGGGCCTCCCGGGCACCGAGAAGAAACCACACTGGCGGGATCCCAGCTGTGTGACCCCGATCCAGTACCTTGACTGCTCCGTGCCTCAGTTTCCCTCTCTGATAAAGAGGGATGATAATGCTGTCCTCACAGATTACTGAGGCGGTAAAATGAGAAAATGAAACACACATCCCTTAGATTAGTGCCTCCTACAGACGAAATATCAAAAGAAGATCCATTGCTGCTGCTACTTTGTTACTAGTTGCCCTCAAGCTGATTCCAGCTCATGACCCCCTGTGTGCAGAGGACAGTTCTCCACACGGCTTTCAAGGCTGTGATCTTTCGGGTGCAGATCGCCAGGCCTTTCTTCCGAGGTGCCTCTGGGTGGGTTCAAACTATCAGCCTTCCCCCTTGAATCCTCACAGTCACCGTGTGAATTAGGGCTGAGGCTAGGGTGAGGCAAGGGAGGCATGGCTTGGGTGCAAAAATTTAAAGACGCAGGCACCAAACAAGTCAGTCAGCAATATATTTTCATGCAATATTTTAAAAATAAAATGAATGCCAAAAAGAAAAAAATCCACGATGAGTAAAAGTTCAAAATGTTAAATGAAAACAGCATCAGCATCACTGGTTTCTCCTTTTGCCTCAGGCTCCAAGTCTCCGCCCTGCGTGGGTTGCTGATCTTTTCTTGATTTAAAATTTTGTTACTTTGTTCGCTCACTTTGCAGATGAAAAAAATGCTCAGAGAGGGGACATGACTCTCCAGGATTGAGGCAAACCCAGGCCTTCGGGGTCCTAAGCCCTGAGCTCTCTCCACTGTTGCCTGGGTGACTATGAAGGGTTATGTCTATTTTGTTCCAACAGATGCCCCATTATTATTACTGTTGTTGTCATTGTTGATGTTGATAAAAGTATCAATGTCTTTAAAAATTTGTATTGCAATAAAATATATATAAAAAAGATATAGAAAATATATAGAAAACATTTGCCATTTTAACCGTTCTTAAGTGTACAGTTCAGTGGCATGAATTTCGTTCACCATGCTGCGCAGGCATCAGCACTGCTTATTCTCAAAACTTGTTCAGCACCTCAAATAGAAACTATGTTCCCGGTAAGCATGCACTTCCCTCTCTACCCTGCTAATCTGCTCACCTGCCTTTTGTGGCTATGCATTTGCCTATTAAAGCTATTTTATACAAGTGAGATCAGGCAATATTTGTCCTCCTGTGTTTGGTTTATTTCGGCGAGCATAATGTTTTCCAGGTTCATCCATGTTGTAGCAGGGATTAGAACTTCATTCCTTTTTACGGCAGAGTAATATTCCATTTTATGGATGGCCCACCTTTTGTTTATCCATTCGTCTGGTGATGAACGCTTGGGTTGTTCCTACCTTTTGGCTGTTGTGAAAAATGCTATGATGAACACTGGTATACACGTATCAGTTTGAGCCCCAGCTTTCAGTTCTTTTGGGTATATACCTAGGAGCAGAATTGCTGGGTCACATGGTAATTCTATGTTAAACTGATAAAAGTATTAACGTCTTTCTAACTGAGCCCAACCACGATCAGGAATTTCACCAAGTGAGTAACGTTGGTGGTGTGTGCTCAGTCCTCCCTGTGTGCCCTGTACTGAGATGAACACCTGCCATCCAGGACACCACACTGTGACGAGGAGGCTGCCGCCACCCCATTTTCCAGAAGAAGAGACTGAGGTCCTGAGTGGTGGAGCCTCAGCCTGGCCAGGAGTCTTGGATTGTCAGTGGCTGGCTAGTCAGCACCCGGGGAAGGTCCTAGCCGGCTGGCCAAGAATTAGCCAAAGAAGCTATCATGCGGGCAGCAGAATGGGGACAAGAGGGAGAAGGTTGCACTGTCCCCAGCCTCCATGTTCTGCCGAATTCATCCCGGGTCAGGAAGAACTTACCACAGGTCACCAAGGCTGTCACCTGCTGCAGGCCCTGTCCTGGGCTCGCATCCCTGGGGAATGGGTGCCAGGATGCACGTGTGTGCGTGCGTGTGTGTGTTTTCCTTGGACCAGAGCAGGAGACACTTTGTGATGTCACCCACAGGCTGCAGGCAGACAGGCTTTCCCAGCTGGGCACGCGGGGCCGGGGCGCCTGCTCACCTCCACCCACACCTGCACCCAGGGCCTGAGACACCCCCAGGCCTTCTATGAGGTTAGAGTGATTGATGCATACGCGTATACACACAGTCACGGACTCATGTCCACCCACGTACTCGTGGCCACGGGTTCGAATTCCACCTTCACCCTGATCACCTGGGGCAGGTCGTTTTGCTGCTCTGAACTCACTTTCCTTGTCTGCCAAATAGACACGCAGCCTCCTTCGAGTACATGGTCGCACAAATAAGCACGTGTGTACACTCACAGCCCGCCACGGATACAGATGCGTAATCACAGGCATGTTGACGGATTGGTAATTCCAGACATGCTCCCGGTGCCCACGTCTCCAGATTTTGCAGGCTTCTAGTTATTTTGTGAACTCGCCTTGCCCCAGGGAAGGGGGCTGACCTTATGAACACGTGCTGGGGACTTAAGATATCCCTATACTTTAGGGGGAGACCAGATGGCTCAAATGGTTGAGTGCTCAACTTCTAGCCAAAAGGTTGGCAGTTTGAACCACCTAGAGGTGTCTTGAAGACAGGCCTGGAGATCTGCTTCTGAAAGGTCACAGCCTCAAAACCCCTACAGAGCAGTTCTACTCTGCACACATAGGGTCAATATGAGTCAGAACCAACTCGACAGCAACTAATAACAAGACATGGGGCGGGGGAGTCCCTGAGTGGGTGCAAATGTTAACACCCTCTGCTGCTAACTGAAAGGTTGGAGGTGCAAATCCACCCAGAGGTGCCTCAGAAGAAGGGGCTGGAGATCTACTTCCAGCCTTTGAAAACCCTATGGAGCACAGTTCTACTCTGACACACATGGGGTCACCGTGAATCAGAATCAGCTCGACAGCAACTGGTTAGACTTGAGGACCAAGCTTGGAGGGGGTGCATGGTACGGAAAATATGGCAAAGATGTTGGAAAGGCACAGGGAAGAATAGCATCGTAAGAGCGGACGTTGCGTCGGACTAGGCCTTCACTGGTGTATGTCTTTTGTTTTTAAAATAATTGATTTGATTTGATTTTGTTGTTGTTGGGAATGTCCACAGCAGAACACGCACCATCTCCACAGTTTCTCCGTGTCCGATTCAGTGACGTAGATGACAGTCTTCAAAGTGTACAGCTATTCTCACCCTCCTTTTCCGAGCTGTTCCTCCTCCATTTACCAGGTTGTCTTTTCGTCCTGCCAACACCTTTACAAGGTAGATACTATTTTACCTGCTTTTCACAGAAAGGGACCATGACCCATCCAAGGTCACACAAC